TTCGTCCTTTTCAACGTGTGCGCTGTTGCGATCGCGGTACGTTAGGGAACCAGTGGCATACCGTACCGACCGGTCTGCAGGAGCTGCTGTCTGTGCGTCGCGGTGCGCCGTCTGCAATGCTGCTGCCGTACGCGTCGTCCAGCTGCGCGTTGCACCGTCTGCCGATTGCGCATGTGGAGTGACCGTGCTCGGTCCAGACTCTGCCGTCCTGCGCGCCATCCCCGTGTTGATAGATGCCAGCGCCGGCTCGTGCTCCTGCCCGCCAAGTATTGCGGTGACATCCTCCCGCACATGCGTAGGCTGCGGGTCATCGTGCCGCTGCGACCACGATGGGCGCAGTGGTCGCAACGGTCGCAGCGGCTGTCCGAGGATCTGTGAGTTGGTTTCAGTTGCCGGGGAATGCGCTCGTCGCCGTGAGTCGGCTGCTGCCGCTGCTGCTTCTGCTGCTGCTGGGTGGAATGTGTGTGCTATCCTCACGGTCCCGGTCATGTGACTGCGATTAGCGGGGGTGGCGCTGGCAACGTTGAGCCGGTAGATTGCAGCGTTGAGCTGAATCAGATCCTGCATTGTCACGCCTGGTATTTTCATCCCGCGCATGTCCTCCAGACGCAGCGTGTAGAAACGATATCCCTCAATTCCATGCTCTACTCTTTTCATCCAGTAAAGCGCTGATTAGCAGCACATTTGCAGTATATCATTGGCAGTACTTTCACATCATACACATATACTTACGCTGAAACGCTGGTATAAACTTTGTGAAACCGTTTTTTTGCGCCCATTGCACCACTGAGTCTCGCGACCACGGCAAAGGGTTTCCTGCTGCGTCTACCGGAATGTTCGCCGACGACAGGCTGACTGTCTGTGCCTTTGCTGCCACCGTCTGCGCTGTCTGTTGATGTCGCGACGGAAACGTGGCTGCTGTGCCAATTGCACCCCCATTTCCAATGACATTACTGTTGTAGTTGTCTTTGTGACCAAATGTCCCCTTGCTGCTGTCGTTATATGCAAATGACACTTTGTTGTTGTTTGTTGAACCTGCTGGTGCTTCTCGCCTATCCACCCTTCCATCCATTGAATTGAGAAACAGAAACAGTAAGCTTGAAATGCCCTTACAAAGTTTGACTTATAAAGTGAAATATATATTTTTTTGTTTATGTTTGGTTGTGGTAAAATGTACACAAAATATACCACGTATCAAGGAACGCAGAAGAAGTAGAAAAGAGCTGAACCGTAAGGTTAAAGTACAAAAGTCACTCTTTTTCCCCTGAGAGCTCTTTCCCTTTAGTCGGATCTTTAATCCTATTGGCCCTTGATCTGATCACTTAATTATTGGAGTGACACGGGTGATACTTTTTTTCTCCTGCTATGAACAATAGGTTAAAAAAAATATTTTTTTTTTGTGCTTTCTATTCTATTTATCATTTTATTTCTTTCGTTGCTGCTTTTGTGTGTGTGTGTGTGTGTGTGAGGCCAGTTTTATTTTTTTCTTCAAACCACTTTTTTCTTTCTTATAGCTGTTTGCTTTTAATATAGGGTGTATCGATGGCACCCGTTGAGGTCATAGTTACGGCCAGTGCTGCTGCATCGCTTACTGCCGCGACTGTATCCGCATTGAAAGAGTCAGATCATGGATTTAACATGCTGCTGTCTGATGCTATTGGATACGTGTCGCTGGTGTGCTGGGTGGTGGTGATGTTTCCGCAAATATACCTCAACTACCAGCGGAAGAGCGGCGAGGGCGTCAGTCTGACAATGATGGTAGCGTGGGTTATCGGTGACATTCTCAATATCACTGGGGCGCTGATGCAGAGTATGGTCATGTCTACTATCCTTATTGGAACTTACTATCTGTTTGTTGACTTGACGCTTCTTGCCCAGACCATCTACTATCGCCTGGCGTATAACGCACACAGCCTCGTTTCCAAGGACTCTTCTCTGGGAAATACGACCAGCAGCTCGCACGTTGCTCGCGATGATGAGGATGAGCATGGCTTTAGACAAACACAGCGTTCAGATTCGTCCAATGATCGAATACTGCACCAGCCCTCAGCTGATTATGCTTCTATTGCCAGTGCGGCTGCTTCTGACGACAACACTGGAAACCCGTCGTGTGACCGTCAGGGCCTTGTTTCTGATGCATTAACACAGGATATGCATGTGTCTCCGCGGCATCAGACGAGCCAATTGGCAACTATTTTGGCTGTATTTTTCTCGTTATTGTCTGTTGCGATGCTGGCGACAATGCTCATTGCGCTGCTGCTGCCATCCTTCCATGACAGCAATGACGACAAGGGACAGCTGCCGTCGTTTCCCGATACTCCGACCCCTGAGCCAAACCCTGAGCCAAACCCTGCGCCGCTTTCAGAGCTTGCCGCCCAGGCTATGGGCGTGGCCTCTGCTGTGGTATATATAATGGCATATGTGCCGCAGGTTTTACAAAACTATCGTCGCAAAAGCTGCGAGGGTTTGTCTATGTGGCTGTTTCTGCTGTCTCTGGTCGGTAATACCACCTACACCCTTGCAATCATGGTAGTCTCCCTGCAACCACATTACCTTGCTCCTTATGTTCCCTGGATCCTGGGGTCCCTGATTCCATGTCTGATCCAGGCCATTGTGCTCTATCAGTTCTACATTTATGCATAATAGCATGTCTCAGTTGCTCTCTTCATTTTCTCTACTTTACCCATCATTCATATATTTATTTATTCTTAACATGCCATATCGGAGCGAGACTAGAAACTGCTGGTAAATGGGGTTTTATAACAAAATGAGAAAAGTAGCTTTTCCATGGCTTATAATTCAACGGCCGCCGCGCTTGTGCGAGCCCACGTATATTGCTCCTCCGGCGCTATCAATCCGGTAGTTTTCATCAATGATCCAGCCACTGGGTATAACATACTGGCGATAGTAGTTGCTACACTGATACCCAACTCTGTGTGGAATGTAAGTAGAAAACAACCCCCACTTGTCTCCGCATCCAAATTCGCTGGCCACCGAGAGAAATATATTCCGCTCTTCCTCCGTCCAATCCCCCGTCCACTGCTCGACACCAGGCTCTGTGTGGCGGTAGAAATACGCATTCGGGTTTTTCTTCAGCAGCTTTGACGCGACGTACTTGGCTATTGATTGCCCGCTGGGCACCGCCCGCTTGGTAAGCCGCTTTCCTGTTCCCAGTGGGTCCTTAAATGTAAATTTTCCACCGCCTTGGCTCTCCCAGGCCTCAGCTGCGTTTGACCTGAGCCCCAAACGTGCCATTGTTTCCGGCTCCACCCATCCACTATAATGCCCGGTCACCCGGATCGCTGTCTTGATCACTGAATCAGAAAAATGTATTTCAGCAGGCGCTAGCACTCCACTGACATCTCCTGTCTCTACTACGTGCTGCTCAGCTGCTGTCGTGGGCTCTGCACTCTCGCCACGCAATCGCTTTGACCGGCGTGCTGGCTCTGTTACTGCCGAACGTCGGGTTCTTATCTGGTCGTCCCTCCACTCGTCTGTATCCTCTTCAGTTTCTTGTCTGGCTCTGGTGCTTGGACGCTTTCTCTTTGACCTGTCAAGCACTATTTTACACGTGGCTGTGGCGACCCTTTCCTCGAATACATTGATTGCATTGTCACCGATCAAGTTTAGCGACAATAAGAGCTCTCGGTTCTCTCGGATGGTCTCCAATCGCTGTTGCTCGTATTCTGATATCTGCGCCTTGGCCATCGTCGTTGTTTTTGAATGCCAAATGCAGCTGTTGGTAATATACAAACTGGTACAGGTCTGAAATGCCTAAACAACGCGTACGGAAAGGCAGAGAAAGAAACAATAGGAAATAAGTTAAGGTAAATAACTGCACTGCCGTTGAAATTTCTTGTATCAAAAGGGCGCGGGATTCTGGGATTCTGGGATCACTGGGATCACTGGGAGATTACCTGTCACAAGTTCCGAGTCAGTGAGAAAAGCCGTCAGGAGCCCCTTTTAGCTTCACTTTTCCGCCTACCCCTTTCCATTTCGCCGGTTTAGGATAGTCGGGGAGCTTTTGCGCCGTTCCGCTGAATACCTCTATTTGTAGATGGTGGAGGGGCCGGCCGAGCTTACGGCAATCCTTTTATCTGTGCAACCGCCAAACAGCAAATTAGCCAGCAATTGGTGCAACAGAACGCGATCTTTTCCGGGCGGCTATCCTGAATCCAAGCTTCTCTTATCTTGCTTCTCTTCCTCTCTTTTTTCCTTACCTCATCTATTTAAGAACCCCTTTGTTTTCGATGAACTCTGCTCTTGTGTCAATAGTCATTGCGTTTGTTGTCGTACGCCTTCTATCATCAATTATTTTCCCAACTATGTCGAAAAATGCAAAGCAGCTCTCACTCGACGATATTCTCGTCATCTCCAAGAGCGGCAAACTCAACAAATCCCCAATTACCATTGTTGATGTGCGCAGCCCAGAAGAGTTTTCCTCCGGACATATCAAAAATGCTCACAATGTACCTGTTCAGGAGCTCCAGGGTGCGTTGAAACTATCATCCGATGACTTTAAGAAAAAATATCACTTCAAACTTCCACCTGCCAATGGCGAAACCGGTCTTGCTGTTTACTGTATGAGCGGAAAGCGAGCTGGTCTGGCCACTAATCATCTTGCTGAAGCCAAGTATCTTAAAAATCTTTACGCTTACCTTCCTGGATGGAGCGAGTTTTCCCACAAAGCAACCGCTGCTGACATTGCGACTACCAAATGATTCTTTGTTTTATGCTTAGTTTGTATAACTTTAATAAAACAATATTCGAATAATATTATATTCAGGTGCGGCAATAATAAATACAAGTTATAGAATATTTCGCAGCAATGTAAGGTAGTACGGATGCTTAAAAAATAAGCAAGACTTATATAAATCAACAAAAAGTTTTACCACATCTTATATGCATTTTCCTTCACAAAAAAATAACACCTCCAACCTGAACAACTTTCGCGTTTGCCCCATCGCATCAAGTAATCTCCTAAAAATAACAAAAAAAAGAGGTCTCACCGAGATTCGAACTCGGGTTACCGGAATCAGAATCCGATGTGATAACCAGCTACACTATGAAACCAGACCTAAAATTTTCAATTTACTAATATTCAGAAATAAACATACTAGTTTGATTGCTTTGCGTTTTTTTATCTGAATAATCTACGAGCAACTATTAAGTAGCCATGTTCACCATCTATGTATAATAAAATAGCTGCTTTAGCCGTTGTTTACAGCAAAATCAATGTAGTGCTGTAGCCACCACAGCCACAGGGAATATTTGCGTGCATGGCAATTGCTGTGGCTGGCCAGTATTACCCTGCAGAAACACCAGCCGCAACGGCAAGGCAGATCCCTACCCTGCCTCTTTTCATATCTTCTAATAACCATGCCTTCTGGTTTCTGTTTCTGCGCTATTT